ASAKAYAWWAAAAAMMSCCAAGTTTGGTCTTTTGGGAAAACYAYTGAATTTTTCATGGCAAACATGCCACATTTTACATCTCTAACAAAAAGCTTCTGTTGTTCAAAATGTCACTTGTTTATGTGAAAGTTTTCCCGACAGCAAGCCAAGGCCTAARAGTTTGAAACCATTGAAGGARCTGTTTGCAGSCACATTAAATGGAGAATCCCTCCAGGAAACTGATGCCCAAGTGGGAGATCTCACTAACAGCACTTTTCCACTCATTTTTCTGGCAAGCCAAGACCCAAATAGCTAATGAAAAAAAACCTCGAGCAGATTATTTTTAATCAAAGAAGTAGGGCAAAGTATGTACCAGACAGCCCTGATTTAATATGAAAAAGCTAAAAAAGGTCCACAACCCTCTTCAAGGCACCTTCAGGCTGGGAGAGCCAAGCAGCAGTTTGGGCAGGGGTTGGTCTGGCTGCCATGGTCAGATGGGGCTCATTCACCTCAAGGACATCCCCAAACATGAAACTCCTCTCCTGTTGCACTCATGGAGGCTCTGCCCGTTGGGCTGACAGGATTTTCTGACCCTAGGGTGAAGCCAACAGAGGAGGCTGAAGCTGCTGGCCCTGAGTTCTGCACTCTGCGCATCAAATCCGAGAGTGGTGAGCAAACCTAYGAGGTGAAGATGCTGCTGACAGACACCATCGGGGACCTGCGCCGCCACCTCGCCCACATCAGGTGGGTCAGGGCTGCCTCCCCTGCTGGGCTGGCTCTGTGGGACCAGGAAAGGGTTCTGAGGCCCTGGAGATTCCAAAATCAGTCACAGCCCCAGYCCTCTGCCCACCAGGCACTCTCCAGGCAGCAGGTCCTGAGAAACTCAGAGCATTTCGTACCCACCATGGAGCAGCAGTGATGAATTTCATCCTCCCAAAATTGCCATCAGACCCAACCCCATCACTGCCTTTGCCTCCTTCCAGCACTCACCCAAGCTGTGCCACCATTCCCAAAGTGCTGGAAGCTGAGCTTGGCTCAGCCAGGCCTATGTCCYAACACATCTAACGCTGCCCAAGGGCTCACTCAGCCTTTTGGGGACACTTCCAGATGGCTCAGGGCCCCCTTTGCTCTCCCCTCTTCCCACTCCTCGGTGTGAGCCCAGGATGAGCTCAGTGCTGCTGGGACACACGAATCTCCCTCCTTCCCACCACAGCTGTGCTGCTGGAAGGGCTGCTCCGGGCTTGGCTGGCTGCAGTTTGGGCTGGAAGCTCTTTATTCTGCTCTTGCATAACCACAGCTGGATCAGTCAAAGCATCTCAGCAAAACCTTGGGGGATCCCGGGAGTAGGAAAGATTGTGCTGTTCTTTCCTAGGGGTGGAAACTCGGGCTCGTTTGAGATCATCAGCACCTTTCCCCAGAGGGTTTACACCGATGACTCCAGGAGCCTGCAGGAATGTGGGCTGGTCCCCARCGCCTCCCTGCTGCTGCGGAGAAGGGACCCCTCCCCACAGGAGGGGATGGAGCTGCAAACACTCGGAGAGCTCTGAGCAGGAAGGAGCTGCCTCTCACCGTTACCCAACCTGCCCTGGCTGGAAAAGGGAGAGTTTCCTTTCCAGATTTGGTTTCACTGTGCCATTACCAGGGATGCAGAAGAGCTGGGAGCAGCCATTTGGTGACTCCTTTGGCAGAGGGGGCCAGGCCCAGCCCTGCTCCTCACAGTGGGTGCTGGTCCCCAAGACAGGAGGGCTCCCACCACAGGGACACCTCCATCTGCTCCWGGCCTGGCTCCTCATCTCTGCAGAGGTTCCACAGGCTGACCCCAGCTCAGGGGAGCCTGCCAGCTTCACTTGGCACCTGAGCTGGGCTCAGGGACTCTGGAGCAGCGCGATGGACACAGCCACGGACAGTTTGCCTTCCACACAAAGCTGCTCCCTACAGATTTCACCTGCACAAACAGGCTCTGTGCTCTCTGCTGAAGCTCAACCTGAAGGCCTTGAGCCGTTGCAGTGCTGGGGCTGAGCCAGMCTCGACTCAGGCGGGTGATCCTGCTCCTGGGTTTCCTGTACGTGCACGGCTCCTTCCCTTGGACAGCCCCCAGCTCCGGCCTGCCGGGCGGTGCCCGCCCTCCTCCCTCCCGCTGGATGCTGCAACAGGACACCGTGTCATTGGAGAAGAGCATAATCCCTCGGCGGCTCTGCCGAGCCCTGAATAAAGCATCTTCCTCCCTCTCCCGTGGGCTGGGGCTGCACTCTTCCCTTTCCCTCTCCCTTTCCCCAGCACATTCCTCCCATTCCAGCTGTGACAAGCTCTCACTTGACTCCCCGCTGACAACACTCCCACTCATGCGAGGCACTGCCTTCTGGCAGATTCCCTCTTTGCACAGACCCAGCCCTCAGTCGAGGCTCCCAATAAAACCCTTTATTTCAGCTGCAATTCCCACTTCCTTTAGATTTCAAAGGCACAGTTGCTGTGGAAGCTTAGGGTGCCCAGAGCTGCACAAGTCAAACACAGGAAGGAGAGCAGCTGCTTCCACAGCTCCCCGTGAGCAGTGACTCAACCCACACAGCCCTCCCTTTGCTTCCTCCTTTCTCCACCTGTAGCAGACTCAGGAGCAGCTGTTTCCCCTGCCCCTCTGGATCCCAATCTTTGTGTTAGGGSTTTGTTTTTCTCTCCCATGTCTGGCTGAGGCTGTCCCTGCCCCAGGCTGCCCCTGTCACCACRCAGAGGAGAGGAATGCTCTGGTACCTGTCACTGCTGYGCTGTAGGACATTCAGACACAGCCTTTGATTAGCAGCAGCAATCTAAGGTGTTAAAATCTTTGTGTCAGGCTGCAGCAGCACGTACAACCCACTTAGCTTCTCTCAGCTGGAAATGACTCACAGTCCATAAGGTAGGGTGATGTTTAACCTGTAGCCAAAATAAAACCAAATTTAAAAGAACGCAAGAGCAGTGACGTGAAAGGTACAGTAACATTTAATAGCATCTCGGAAGACAACACTGGTTATAAACTTGCTTTTTGGCAGGAAAACAAAATGCACTTGGTCCAGGATTGCAAAAAAAGCCAACTCAAAGAGGAAAGATCAGCCAGCTGGAGCATCAGCTGTTCTGGGGCAGCCTTGAGCCATTAATGCTCACAAGGGAGCCCTGCTCAGGGCAAAGAAAGGCTGGAGTAGCACAGATCCCACTTCAGCCCCATCCATCCCCCAGGCAGCTTCACCCCAGCTCCTCCACGGTGGGTGCTCACACCCCCTACTCTGTGCAGTACTTTTGCATTAAATTAAGACAAACAACAACAAAAAAATATTACTTAGTTGCCATAATCTCTGCGGTTGAGATGAAGAAGGGGGAAAAAGGGGAAAAAAAAAGGAAGTGAGGCAGCAGAATTTACAATTTTAACAGCAACTGGGAGAAGTGGGAAGTGCCACAGCCCTGAGCCCTTCCCTCCCGAGGCAGGGGAGGGGGCTGAGGGCCACTGCACTCGCACAGCCCCGGAGGTTTTGCTGTTTACAGAGGCACTGGAAGCTGCCGTGAGCCAGGCCCAGCTCTGCTCACAGGCCAAGCGCAGCGAGCGTCGCTCTTTCTTTGGATCCCTCRGAGATGATTTTGGGTTAGGCAGGAGGGATTGGAGGCAGCTGCAATGAGGAGTTTTGGTCATGGGTTTTTCCCTGTGCTGGGATACGAGTCGTGGTGCCAGGACAGCGCTGGCAGCCTGRAGGTGAAGGTGGTCGGAGATGAGGGCGCTCAGGAATGCAGGTAGAGTCCAGGATGGCAGGGGAAGCAGGGCTCAGGCCAACTTCAGGAATTCCTGCAGAGTGTTTTGCTCCACCGCTTCCACAAAGAGCTCGTAATCCTGCAGGGAAACACCACAGGGTCACTCACTGAGCCCATGGCAYAAAGTGGCTCACAGCACTGGCGCCAGCTGCTTGTGCCAAGAACAGGGCAAAGGGGGCACAGCCCCACTGCCACCCAAAGCCTGGGGTCCAGCTCCTCTTTTTCCCAAATGAACTCTGGCAGCACCTGGTCCCTGCACCTCACAGGGAATAACTTACATCCTGAACATCTGCAGCAAACCCAAGGTTGGGACATCACCCCCCACCCAACCCGGGCGTGGAGCACCAGCCTCACCCCACAGTATTGGTCTCCATTGAAGATCTGTGGGGGGATGGCTTTGGGGTTGCCTGCCTTCGCCCTCATCTCCTCCCGGAGAGCGTTGTCCTGGGAGATATCCACCAGCTCGTATTTGATGTTCTTCCCATCGAGGATTCGGGTTACTTCGCTCTGTTGGGATTTGATCTGGAAGCCGGGTGGGAAAGGCAGGTTATGGGGAGATGGAGATGAGCCCGAAGGGTGGGCACACACCCAGCGTGCCAGCCTCGCTCAGCACAGCGCCCAYCGTGCGTGGGGGCACACCCAGAACGGAGGGGTGGGTTTGGGGAAAGGTGGGGACCGTACAGCGCGAGCAGGGGAGGGGACACCGAGACTGGGGAGGAGGAGGGAGGGCTTCGCTGCTCCACGGAAGAGCGACGCCCACCCCGGGAAGAGGGGCCCCGGTGCGCCCWGCCCTGCCCTGCCCTGCCCGCCGCAGCCCGGCCCCGCCGCTCACCTCCCGGGAGCCGGTCACCGAGGTGCTGTAGACCTTGAGGGTGCTCATGGTGCGATCGCGGCCGCTCCCAGCGCTCAGCCCGGCGGAGGGAGGGAGGGGAGGCTCGGCTCGGAGGGAGGGAGGGAGGGACGGAGGGATGGAGGGAGGAGCGGGGGCCCCGCCGCCGCCCGGCATGTGACTGCAGAGGCCAATGGGGCCGGCGGGTTCGGGCATGCGGCCTCGGCGGGACCGGCCCCGGGAGCCACCGCCCCGCCGGGCACCGGGAACCACCGGGGAGCCACCGGGGAGCCGCAACCGGCCCCGGGAGCCACCGCCCCACCGGGCACCGGGAGCCACCGGGAACCACCGGGGAGCCGCAACCGGCCCCGGGCCACCGCCCCGCCGGGCACCACCGGGAACCACCGGGGAGCCGCAACCGGCCCCGGCCACCGCCCCACCGGGCACCGGGAGCCACCGGGGAGCCGCAACCGGCCCCGGGAACCACCGGGGAGCCACCGGAACCGCTCCCTCCCCAGCCAGGACGGGCTCGCACGAGTGGGTCAGAGCAGCTTTATTTGGTATTCCAAATACTCGATACAAACAAACGGTGAGACAGAAGCTGGTACAGAGACAGAGCCCGGCAGGAGCGGGCACAACACGGGGGAGCAGAGGGGACGTGAGTGGCACAGGGAAGGGGACAGGGAGRGAGCACTGTCCTGTCCCYCTGGCCCGGGGTGTTCTGTAMCAAAAGGYCCAAGATTTGCCCTGCACCAGCAGCAAACAGCTCATGGGATCACCCTCAGCCCGAGGGGCTCAGTTGTGCAGGAGGAGGATCAGGGAACACAGGAGAGAACACAAGACCTGGGCAGCARCTCTGGTGGTTTCAGCTGCAATAATCTCATCTCAAAATCACCTCTGCCGGGGCAGAGGGACAGCCTGTCCCCCCACAGCATCCAGGAATGAGACCTTGCACCCCCAAARCAAAGGGGGGAAGGGGATGATGCTCAACAGCCCCCTAAGAACCAGCAGAGCTCCCAGCAGTCAGGACAAACTGAAATAGCTTCAGAAATAGCCTTGGAAATGTGTTTTGCTCAGTACACAGCAGCAGCAGCCTGGGACAGACACAGCCAGGAACAGAACAGCCAGGACCTACAGACAGACACTGCCAGGCACACTCTGCTGTGTGCTCCCTGTGCGGGACAAACCAATCAATTCCTCRCCACCATCATCCACGGTGGCCAAACACTGAGAACAAAACAGATTTGGTCTTAATTTTAACACAAAGGAATAACAAAAGCATTTCTGCCAAASCCAGGGCTCACAGCCCCAACGTGAACCAAGAGCAACCAAACAGCACAAATGGCAGCAGGATTTTTTTCCCTGTTCTAACTTGGTATCTTGCTCTTAACTCAAGCTGAAAACCAAAGTTCCAGTACTGTAAAGTTTGTCACTGGGGTTAAGGAGGATTGTGGTACAGTAAAACTGATCCCACACTGAAATCCYATTACCTGAAGAGAAGCAGGGAAGSAAAGAGAGGGCTGTGACAAAASCCAAGTGGCCACTGCCCTGCAGGAAGAGCTCTCTGTGCCACCCCTCCCCATTAGGACCAGTATGGCTTTCTCCCAGTAAAGCACAGATGTATTCCTGGGGGCACAGAGGCTCTTGGAGGCTCTGCCAGGGGCCACAGACATTTGGGGYTCCCCAGGATTGTTTGTGATGGCTCTAAAAGGCTGTGAGAAGGAAGAGCAGCTCCTCACTTTGCCAGTGGATGCATTAGGCACGGAGCAGTGTGAGGGCAGAGGGTTTTTCCAGCTCATTAAGGCACTTCAGCATCAATCCACTTCCTCTGCAGCCTGAACCACACCCCACTCCCAGTGCTATTTCAGGGGAACTTAAGGCTTCTGGGGTCACAGTGCCCAGGGGGAGCATTTCCAGAATCTTTTAGTGTTGCTTTATTCCTCAGCTCATGCTGGCTGCTGAAAGCCACTGGCTGCATTWACCTGAGGACAGCAGGTCCTGCTCCATCAATCCAAGGCAGCAGCACCTCGAGGGAAATGCCAGCAGTGGAACTGGCACACCTGCCTCCCTGTGGGATCCAGATATCCCACAAACACTCAAGACAATCCTCTGGTCCCACTGGTCACACAGGACCTGCACAGGGAGGTTGTCAGCAAGACCAGGGCATAGGTTTCCTTTTAGCCACCATTTTAACTGTCACATTTGCATGTTCAGCATTTGACGTGCCTGGAAGGCAAATCAGAATTCATCTCCCAGCATCAGAGACCACACCAGCTCCAGCAAACACAGCACAGAACACATTGCACGAGATCAAAGCTGCTGCAAAGCCTCACACCGAAGCCCTGAATTATCCCAGTTAGCCAGTCAGCAGCTGAACACTTCTGGCAACAAMCCCCCTGATTCCTCAGAGATCAGATAAACCACACATCCTGTACCCGAGCAGAGGGATGATAAAGTGCTGAATAGGTTTAGAGTTATAGGAGCATGAGGCTCCTGAGAGTTTCAAGTCTTCATTTCCTGTCTTACTTGGGGAGTGTTCTTTACTGGGTGATGCAGTTGTCTCCCATGTCCTGAGCGTATCTGTCAGATATTGCAGTCCTTAAGTCCTCCACCTCTTTGTGAAGCTCTTTTACCTCCACCAGTTTCTTGGCCAGTCCATCAGGGCTCAGCAGATCATCYTTCTCCTTCACAGGGTACTGCACAGCTGTGGGGTCAGAAAAGGGAGTTTCCTCACACACAGTTCTCACCAAGGATCACACACATTTGCAACTCAGCCAGAAAAACCAACTCACATTTGCAAAAGAGGTTCCACTTAACATTCAGTTATTACAGCATGTACTTTTAAAGCAAGCCAATCACAGAAAGAGTGTTCAGAAGCCCAGAAAGGAGAACTTTCCATGCTCTGTGTGAGTTAATTCTGCCACAGGATGGGAACAGAAGGGGTTGTTCTGCCATCGCTCTGTACTCACAGTGAATGCCCAGGAGCAGAGAGAGGTTGGGGTCCTTGCCCTGAGCCCTCTGGGTGACAATGCTGTAGACAGACTGTAAATCCTGCAGGCAGCTGGCCAGCTCCCCGTGCAGCTGCTGGGCCAGGCGGGCTGTGTCAGCAGGGAGGGGCTGGGCTGTCAGCTGGGCCTGCCGGAGCTGCTCCTGCAGYGTCAGGTTCTTCTCGATCAGGTCCTGGTTCTGCACGGACAGCTGGACACACGGACACTGCTGTTAGAGGGCACTCAGGGTACAGCTGCCATGCTTAATGCCACTGCCCCGTGTTGGGGGCACTGAGGGCAGGAGCTGGTKGGCATCCAGCCCTAGACCAGAGGAGCAAATGTCACTCCCACACGGGACTGCAGCAAACGGGAAGTGCCTGTGGAACTGCACTGTCCCTGAGGTCTGGGCACTGTCCCTCCATGGAGTCCAGGATGCTGTGCACCCCAGCACTGGCCATCCCCTCCTGCTCTGCTGCCCTCAGCTGGCAAACTCGGCCTCCTCCAGCCCATCCCGAGCAAATTCCCCAGGCACAACCTGCTTTCTCCTGCTCTTGAGCAGAGCAGAGCTCCTTTCACAGCCCTGGCAGGAGGCACRAGAGATTGTGCTGCTGACTCAATTCAGGGCCTTGCTAAAAGACAATCTATAGTGCTGCATGCAGGCAGCCCAAACACCCCCTGACCTCTTTCACAGCAGTCCGGAGCTGCTGCAGAGTGTTTTCCCTTCTCATCGCCTCCTCTTTCAGAGCTTGGCTTGTCCCCTCTTCCTGAGCCACCTGCTCTTCCAGGTTCTGGAACAGACCATGGGACACAGTAAGTCTACCTCATTTCATAGCACATTCTCAGGTCCTGGGTCTCTCCCCATCACCTCTCACCTTGACTTGCAATGAGAGCTGCTCCATCTTCTTTTGCTTTTTGTCCACAATCTGGAATCAAAAGCACAGAGGCATCAGAACTGGCCACACAGACCCAGTAACACCACCAGGAATTCTCCTTCAGTAGGACAGCATCCCCTCTCCTTYCCTTTCCTGTCCATTTACTGCTGTAATCACAGATGCTCTTAGTAGTGGACKTGGATAAAAGGCACCATCTGATTTATCAAAACAGACCAGAGACATTGAATTGTTGTGGTTTTCCTCTCCCCCRCTTCTGCATTCTGCAACTGCTCCCCAGCATTACTGGAAAAGTGTGTGGTTATCACACCAAGAGCTTTTCCAATCCTGCAGTCTGGAATTCCAGGAACTGCTGCTTCAGTGCARTTGTGTCTGTAGAAATCCCTGATTTCATCTGCGTGCCTGGTGTGACTCAGTGGAAAGAAAAAATGTGTGATTGTGGATTGGGCCAGCCCCTTACCTTCCTGAGGCAGTCACACTCTTTCTTCAGAGAGTCATATTCCATTTTCTGCCTCTCCCCATCCTGGGCAGGGGGTCCTCTCTCTGCATTCTTTGCATACTGCTGCAACTTGTCCTGCAAGCTGCAATTAGCAGGACACCATGGGAATAAAAAAAAACACCTTTATTTACAGTGTTTCCCTTACTTTAAGAAAGGAAACAACGTAAGGAGTGAAATTATATCCATATCAGATGCCAGTGCTGCCCTGTTTGCATCCCAGCCCACCATTTTTCACCTTTCTTGTGCAGCAATTCCAGATGAAGCTCATTCCTGATTCCTACCTGTGCACAGTGGACAGAAGCTCCATCTCCTTGTGTTTTTGGGTTTCCAGCTGCATCTCTTGCTCCCTGAAAGCAGCCTGGACATCTCCAAGTTCTGTTTCCAGTGCCAGCACTGTTTCCTGCAGGGCTGTAGCCTTCAGTTCAAATTCCTTCAGCTGCAACAAAAGGGGAGCAACTGCAGGAAAGTCACCTGAGCAAGGTGAAGAGCCACCWTTGCAGCTCAGAGCAAGTTTTACCTTCTGACTCTGTTTCTGGTGGTCCTCAAGGGTTGGAAGATCAGCCAGGTATCGTTCCAGGGTCTCGATTCTCTGCTGTCTCTCTCTGTTTTGTTCAGATTCCTTCTGRCATTTCTTTTTAAGGTTGTTAATGTGTTTGTCTCTTCCCTTTACCTGCAGGGACAATTACAGACAAGTTTAGTTTATATATAATTCCTTACCTATCCTTCAGTCTGCTGTAAGCCCACTCATTCAGCTTTTTGCACACCACACAACACTAAAATACAAGATCACCTTAACTCAGGAGCATTTCTGCTCATTTAGCTAAAGACAGGCTTTTTATTTTTTTGTTAAAAGAGGAGGTACTAAGTGCAGAAAGAAGGGCTTTTCCTTATAAACCATAGTCTACAAGGAGATGAGAAAACACCTGCAATTAGACTGCCACAGGAAATTTCACCTCAGCACTACACTGACAAAGGAAACACGCCTTCCCATCTCCAGAGCAACAGGATCATACCCTTTCTTCCTGTTTCTTTAACTCCTCTGCCTGTTTCAGCATYGTTTCCTTCAGCGACTCCCGGACCAGCTTCACATCCACCTCTGCAGCAGCCAGTTTCCTCTCCAGCTCAATGTTCTCCTTGCTGAGGGATTCTGTTTTCTCTGTGAACTGAGCTCTCAGGAAGGCATTCTCTCGCTGCAGCTCCTGTGGGCAGAGGCAGCCCCTGAATTTGGGGAGTTACAAACTGGCCCTTGGCAGTCCCAGGGCTGTGTCTTCACCTCTCCCAATTCCCCAAACATCCCTCAGCCCATCTGACACTCTGAAACAGCAACTGGCAGTGCTGCCAGTGTTTGCATCACCAGCATGGCTTTAATCCACCAAAGGACCTCAGGGCTGGAAATCCCAGGGGGCACAGAGGGGATGGTACAACCCCACACAAGGGATAATTGGCATCTGTAAAGTCCTGCTTAGCAAACACCAAGGCAGGAGTGGCACTGRATTCAACACCTGATCTCACTGAGACCTGCTGTACCTGCATCCTCAGCATGTAGACATCTCCATAGGATGCTGGGCAGCCCAGCAGGGCACTGTGAACCTGCAGTTCACTCTCCCGGACCTTCTGCTCCAGCTGGGAAATGTGCTGCCTTTGTCTGCAACAAAACAGGCAATTCACTCTTCTCAAACATAGAGAGCAGCAACACAACACAAACAGTGCCACCACAGCACTGCTGCTCCACACAGTGACAAGCAGAGGAGACAGACAACTCTGCAACTCGGAGCTGACCTGCAGAGAAATCAGCTGAAAAGTAAACATTTTGACTTTTTTTACAATCGTTATTAACTTTTCTTCCCTCCCCTCCCTTCAAAACCTTTCCCCCAACAATGATTACAGATAGAACAGAAAAGCCTGGAATGTTTTGGAGGATCCAGCTTGGCTCTGGATCTTAGGAGTGAAATGAACAGACAGCAGATRACTCAAGKGAAAAAAASTATTCACAGTCCAAATGCTGAARGTACTTTTCAYTAGGACTTACTTTTTCAAAAAGCTTGTGGACCACTAACCTCATCTAAGAAATGTTTGCCGGCCCAAACTCACAACCCCTAAATTTAAAATAAAGATCTCAAAGAGCTCCCAGAAAGTCCTTAAGCAAAAAAGGCAGTAGTTTTGACCTTCCAGATAATCACAATATGAACAGAAATCTTTATCCCTTACAAAACACARAAAATCATAACCAAAATTAATTTATTTGAACCYTTTGTGATCATCATTCTAATTCCAAGAAGGAGAGAAGAGTTCAGGCTGTTCTCTAAGGTCATTATATTGTTCTTTGCAACAAAACAAGATTATTGAGCAAAAGGGACTGTGAGAAATGAGCTTTCCTTGGTACTTTCCAAAATGGAAATGCACCAGTCTTTAAGCCACATGTCAGTATGAAAGGCTCACCTGTCAATGAGGAGCTCTTTCTCCTTGAGCAGGTTTTCATTGGAGTTCAGGATATTGATCCACTGAGCTGGGTCAGGTGCAGGCAGGGATGGGGAATACATCGAGGAATGGGGGCAGGTGCCTCCATTTTGTAACTGGGAGAGGAGACAAAGCAAGAAGGGAGAGGTTTGTGCCCCACAGGGGTAATTGCAACATTGCTGGAGCTATTTTGCACACTGTGTGCTCATCTGCGTGCCAGGGCACGGCTATTTCAGTCTCTGGTGATGTCCAAGAACAAGAAACTTTGCCCAAGCACAAGTGGAGATTAACAAATAATTTTAGATCACTGTGCTAGCTCGCTGGAAACAATTTGTCTCCATTAGGGTACAGCTGGTGGGAGGTGGTAAACAAAGCGTTTCCACCTAATAAATTGCAGCTAGTTTCATGCATTTTTCCAAAACCACTCTTTCTCAACCTTAGATACAGAGTAAAAATATTCTAGAAACTGTTTAGAACCTCTTGGCATGCTTTTTCTCCACAGTTTCTAGCAGACAGAGTATTTCAGCTCTTGATCTGGCAGGTGGTGCAGCACTGTAACATAATCCAGGGCTGCTCTGCACACGCAGCGTGTCAAACAATACCTGTGACACCACAAGCTGTAAAAACACACCATGAGGAGACTTTTGCTCTCACTCAGGGAGAAGCATCAGACGTTTTCCTCCTCACTTCCTAAGTCTGGGATAATGATTCCTGACTAAAGAGATGGGAAGGGTTTCAAATTCACAGTCACAGTGCAGCTGCCTACCTGCATCTGCTCCACCTGCATCCGCACTTGGTCCAGCTGCTGTTTCCAGGCACTGAGCTCACAGACACCCTGGTGAGGGTGTAATGTGCAGCCTTCCTGCATCCAAGCTCGGGATGGGGGAGTTACMACAGGTTTGGAAAAGAAATTGTTGGCCTGGAGTCCTGCTGGCATCAGCCTGCTCCCGCTGGGCCACGTCCCATCCCGGGGCTCACAGGCTCTGGTGGCCCCYGGGCTCTGTTTGCTCTCTGGCAGCACCTTGTAATGGTCCTTGCTTGCCTCAGAGCTTGGGTTGAACTTCTGGCACCTGTGCAGRGGGTCAGTGCACAGACTGTCCACAAACAGAGACTGGTTAAGGGTGCGCTCCATGGCGGGGGTGTCAAACTTCCAGGTGTCTTCTGTCCTGGTGTGATCAGCAGCAGGAGGCCAGGAGTGCTCGCAGCCATTTTGCCCTGAAGCCCCGTAGAGATGCAGGAGATCCCTGGGTGGCACCTGAGAGGACTTGCTGGGGTTAAAGTCCCCGTTCCTGGTGAGCCCTGGGCGCTCAGGGGCACAGCCTGGCACAGATGGCTTTGAAGAGCCCTGGGAGCAGCCATGGTCCCCTGCAGGGCACAGCTTGGAGGGTGAGGCACCCAGAGTGGAAGGCATAACGTGGGCTGTTGGAATGGTCACCTGGCTCCTGATGGGATGGAATGAGGAACCGCTACTGGAATTGCAAAAGTCTGGGGAAAAAGAAGAAGAGTGATACTCTGATTACAGTCCTGAAAATACAATCCTCCAGTGAGCTTTCCAAAATAATTTTAAAGCCAGGTCCTTTCCCACCGAACATGTCCTCCTAAGCAGCAGCATGACTCAGGCACACCTTCTTCCCCCTCACTGCAAGTTTCAGGAACCTGCTGACCTTTTCCTACCACCACAGGAAGARCCCAAGTTTAATCCAGTCCACATTTTTAACCCTTGTTTTTAAGCTACTCTAGCACAATCTTAAATCAATAAGGTTATCTTTCTCTARGTTTAGAAATCAAGTCCTTGATGCTGAATAAAAAGGCTGAAACTTACTGAGCTGAGCACTGAGCCCGTGATCCTGCTCTGCCCGTCCCACAGCTCAGTGACTCTGAACTGTGAGCAGAGCTAACAGGAGCCTTCCCTGAGCCCATGGTGAGCCTCCACCATCGCTGACCCCACAGATCTGACCTTCCAGCATCGCTGACCCCACAGATCTGACCTTCCAGCTCCTCCAGGACGCTGCGGCAAGAGCCCGTCCTAGAGCTGGAGCAATGGCTCTCACCTATCGCCACAGGAAGTGAGACAGAGCTGCCTCCTGCCAACAGGGCACCAAACCTGGCTGCAGGCAACTTGGGGTTATTCTTAGCAACTCTCAGATTTCAATACAGCAAYAGCAAGAGCTGAGAAAGGCAAACAGCAAAGTGCCCGTTCCCACTCCTTGTCCTGATACGTTCTGTGTCACTGTAATTCCAGGTTTCTCCCAGGAACATACACTTGATTTCCTCATGGCTTTGGCCAAAGGCCCATCTCCACGTGATGCTCCAACAAGTCATCCTCCCACCTGTTTGTACCCTCCAAGCATGAATAAACACTACCATTTGAATACAACCCAAATCAGCCTCTGCAAAGACCAAATCACTGTCATGATAAAACACTCAACCCTTTCATCAAAAATGAGCAGTGAGGACAGAAAATCTYTCAGCCACTGAGGAGAACACCATGCTGCCAGGCAGCTGCAAGCACGTTCACCTTGGCAAAGAGAAGAGACAGCACCATTTCCTTTTACAGCCCCTAAATTTATCCCCTGGTGTCACTGTCAGGAATTTGAGTTTCCTGAGCAGCACATCACGTGTGGGGGCTGCAATCAGTTCCTTGAGTGTGCTGAGGGTCCTCACAACAACATTTCTGACTAATGTACTGAGCTCAGCGTGCCTCAGCAGCAGCCAGGGCTGCAGGTCACCCTCGGCTCTTACAAACAAGGCTGTGACATCAGCAGTGCTCCGAAGGGACATTTCCCAAGGGGAAATCATCTCCCCTGCCTTCACTCGCCAGCTGGGTGTTTTATTATCCTGAGAGAGGTGTCATGGAACACTTAAACGTGTGCTTGTGTAATATTTCTAGCAATACTTGCAACAGCCACACATTTCACTCACACATTATTAAGATCTACAGCTCATTCCAAAGGCTCCCTGAAACACATGGATGTGTGAAATGTTTTAAGGAACACCACAAACTTCCTCATTGCTGGAAAAAGAATCAGTGAAGATGAAAATACAGGGGGAAAGCATTGCTGGGACMAGAAATTTCATAGTGTGCACCCAGCTGAGCACTCAGCTCTTACATTGCAGTGACAAAAACTTCTACACAAAGGCATCTATAAATTGTTTCTTAAAAAAAWTWAAAWTMWSMCACWRACTTGCTAATAAATCTCTCATTGGTTAATAAGAACCAGCAAGCAACCAAGGTGGCTTTTAGTCAGTYAAAACCACAGCAGTGAGACAACAACCAAGCTCAGAGAAGCAGCCAGTCCCTTCCTCACTCAGTTAAATTACAGATATCTGGATTTCAAACAGTCTGCAGACATTCTGACAGGTTCTGCTCCCTAGATTTTACCCTCTGCCCCAGTGGTGCCCATCACCTTCAGTGCTGTCTGAGCAGGAGGTGCCAATGCCCCCATCAGCACTCTCGGCCACGCTCGGACAGCGGCTGACACGGCTCTGGCACTTCATGGACAGCATCGGTGTCTTCCACTCACTGTCCAAGAACTTGCTCTTCTGACCAGTGCTGGGCTCTGGSGAGAAAAAAYAGGSATATTTATGCTTCAGCCAACAGATTGAACAGCCTTTTAATACACCGAATTAGCCATGTGTAATTAGCAGTGCTTCCAAAACCCAAACTGATCCTTGCTTCACTCCCTGTGTTCCTGATAAAAAAAAAATCTTTTGCAGAAGTGAATGTAAGGAAGCACAAGGAAGTCAAATAATATCAACAGGAGACTGAAAAACAATCTTGGTAAGGAAGTCAGAATGCAGAAGTTGTAAATTATATATTCCCATTGATTAGTTTGGTCATGTTACACCCAGCTGGTGCTCTGACTAAAAAGAGCAGCACAGCAAAACAGGACAAGTTTAAGAGGTATTTTTGCATAATCTCCCAGATTCATCAGCTATCAACTTAATGGAGAAATTMATTATCAAATGATTCTCTACCCTTGCCTGCTTGCTCAGGAATAACTCTTTTGAACAAAAAGGTTTGGTAAAGRATCTTTTGATGGCYACRTSTCTCCTCAGAGACTGAAACAGGATCTGACAGCAGCAGGGCTTTGGAGAAAGGACTGTCCTTACCTGATGGATTGTTCTGCTGGAGCCTCAGGTCTGCATCTTTCTCAGGAACAGCCATCTTATCAATCTAGAGAAACAAATAAATGAATAAAAATCTTATTTTGAGTATAATCCACACCCTGATCCAGCTAATCAAGTGAAGGGTACACACACATCAGCTACTCATTAGAGTAACACAGTATTTAGCATTTAATTACTTCTCCTCACAAAAGTATCTGTTTTTTTCCCTGGCAGCAACAGACTTTAAAAAAAAAAAAGAAAAAAAAACTTGTAGGTTTTCTTTATGCCTGAGAAAGAAGAATTCCTGTTTGCACCATTCTCCAGCTATTCAGGCACACCTTTTACCTGTTATCCCCATGGCAGGTATTTATAGAGCACCCGTCACCACAGTGAATTTGTGTCTACAGAGACAAAAAATTTCTCTCAACCAGGTAATTTCTGCCCTCTGTAGAGGTCACTGAGCAACTGCACAATCCTCAATCAGCAGTTCTTACAGATTTTGAAACTGATTCAAAGAGCTCAGAGAAGACATTAATTCCTAGAAAATGTTCATATACAGAATTCACAACACAAAAGACCCACTGGAAATACAACAGAATAATAAACCAGACACAGCATTTCATTCAACAAAGAAATAAAACACTTCTAGCTAAGTGTAGTGCTTATTATGGTTAATTTAGGTATATTTAGTAGGTAGAGTTGGATATAGTTAGATAGATATGGCTAATTTCTTAAGGGCTGGAAGTCCCGGTCCCTGAGAGTCTGAAGGGGTCCGTCCATCAGGACCTGATCAAAAAAAAGGCGGGGGAAGGGGTGTCGGTCCTTGTGGGTCTGATCCCTGAGGGGGAGCGGGAGCCGGTCCCTGAGGGGCTGCAGGGGGAGCCGGTCCCTGAGGGGCTGCAGGGGGAGCCGGTCCCTGAGGGGGAGTGGGAGCAGATCCCTGAGGGGCTGCAGGGGGAGCCGGTCCCTGAGGGGCTGGAACGGGAGCAGGTTCCTGAGGGGCTGCAGGGGGAGCCGGTCCTTGAGGGGCTGCAGCGGGAGCCGGTCCCTGAGGAGGAGCGGGGGCGAACCCTGAGGGGCTGCAGGGGGAGGCCATAAAGAGCAGTCGCTGAGGGGGGCCAGTCCCTGAAGGTGCGGGTCCGGTGACGGTACCGCTGTGGCAGTGGCGATGCCGGTGCGGTGATGGCAGTGCCGGTGCCGTGTGGGTCTGGGTTAGGGCTGGGCTCGGATCCCGCTCCGTCCCTCACCTGCAGCCGCCGCGCCGCTCCCGCCACCCCCGCGCGGCGCGACCGTTACCTCCGCCGGCGGGAGGGCGGGGCACGGCCCAGGGGGGCGTGGCTTCAGGGCAGAGCAGCCAATCGAGCTCGCCGTCCCCGCCCTGTCCCGTCGCTGATTGGCTCTCCCGAACGCTGTCCCCGCCCTGTGCTGTCTCTGATTGGCTCYCCCGAACGCTGTCCCCGCCCCCGCACGCGGCGGAGGGAGTGGCGGGTTGTGGCGGGGGAAGAGTGACCGCGGGCGGCACCCGTAGGGCGGGCCCTGAGGGGGCTGAGGGGATTCAGCCCGGAGGAAAGGGGGATCGGGGAGATCGAGGGGATTATCCCGCTTTTCACGATATCCTGGCAGCAGGAACAACAGCACAAGAGGAAACGGCCTCAAATTGCACCAGGGGATGTTCGTGTTGGGCATCACGAGGAATTTCTTCATGGAAAAAGCACTGGCACAGGCTGCCCAGGCAGTGGTTGAGTCACCATTACTGGGAGTGTTCAAAAACCTGTGGATGTGGCACTTGGGCACGCGGTTTAGTGGTGAACGGGGCACCACTTGTGGTGGGTTACAGCTGGACTCGATGTTCTTGGAGGTCTTTTCCAGCCTTCAGTTCCATGATTTGATGATTTCAGCACCAAGAAAAACCACAGCAAAACCAGTTCCTGTCAGTCACATTTATTTACAGAAGAGCCCACGGCTGGGCAGGCTGGCAGCACCACAGCAGGGGCACATTGCYCAGGAAAATCCCCCCTTGCCAGCCTGCAGCCAAGGCAGAATGAACTTGAGAAAATTAAGACTGTCACAGCAGCCATTTCCTGTGTGGGATGGCGCTGCTGAGGGCTGAACYTCCCAAAATCTCTTTGAGCTTCCCAAAATCTCTTTGAGCTTCCCAAGATCTCCAGCACAAACACCCTCCATGCTCCCACAGCACCGAGTCCTGTCGGGATGTCAGGGTTCAGCCGCCTCTTTGTGGGCACCATGGTGGTCCCCAGTGTCACCCTGGCACTGCCKCCCTGCCCAGCCCTGCCGCAGCTCCTGGTACAGCTCCTGGTGCTCCTCCTTCCAGCGTCTGAACGTGGCTGAGGTGACTGCAGCCTCTCCCAGCAGCTGCTCCAGCGCCTGCAGCTCCGCCAGCTTCGCCTGCAAGAAGAAAAGGACACGTTTTGGGGAGGCCACATGTGAGCAGGGGGTTTTTGGGGGTGTTCAGGGGTCCCACCTTGAGCGTGCTCTGCAGGGCYCGCACGGCGTGCACCCTCTCGTTGATGTGCGGGTTCTTGTTGCGCCGCAGGAAGGATTTGCGGCACTGCTCCTGCGTCAGGAARCGCCGCTGCCCGATGAGGGACACCCCGCCCTGCCTCAGGCACTGCATCAGGCTCTCCAGATCCTCGCCAGCGGGGTCTGGGCAATGAGAGGGGGCACTGGGGCACCTCACGGAGCTGCCCCGTGTATGATCCTGCCCCGAGGGTGTGGGATCACAGAGCGGTTGGAAGGGACATTAAAGATCATCCAGTGCCACCCCTGCCATGGCAGGGACACCTCCCACTGTCCCAAGGTGCTCCAAGCCCCATCCAGCCTGGCCTTGGACACTTCAGGGATCCAGGGGCAGCCACAGCTGCCATCACATAGGAAAGACCATCCTTCCAATATCCAATCTAAAACTACTCTTTTAGTTTAAATCCATTTCCCCCTTGTTCTGTCACTCCATGCCCTCATAAAAAATCCCTTTCCCTCTTTCTTTATCCATAGATGGTTCACAGTCCATACCCCAACTCAAGTTACCCCCCGGCACACCCACAGGCAAGAGGGAGGGACACAAGGTGACAGACGGGGGTCAGATGTCCCCTCTAGCACATACCCATGGGGGAGCAGGGCCGGGGGCTGCCCTGGGGGCTGCTGCCTGGGGAGAGCTGAGCCTTCTCTGGGGTGTTCTGCAGCCTCTTCCTTGGCTGAGGGAGAGACAGGGCAGGAGGTGAGACAAGGAACCTCTGTCCCTCTGTCCCTGGGGTGTCCCCCAGGGCCACTCACCGAGTCACATCCGTGCCTGGGGGACTCATCCTCAGGGTCCTCAGCTTCTGTCTCACTGTAGCAGTCTGGAGGCCATGGGGGAAGACAGAAATTCCCTCCCAGGGCTGAGAATCACCCTGGGCCCCTCTCAAAGGAGCATTTGTCACATTCCCCCAAACCATGGCCAAGTTCTCCCCATCTCCCCCTGACCCCAGCTCCCAGCCCAGGATGGGCCCATTACCTTCCTCCTTGTCTGGGACTGCCTGGTGGGCCAGGGTGTACTTTGTTTTGGCTGTTACGAGTCGACTGACCCACCTGGGGAGGGAAAGGATGGACAGATGGGGGATGAGGATCCTGGCCAGCCCGGGGTGGCAGGGCCAGCACTGACCAGTGGCTCTGGTACTCACATGCTCAGGTCAGCCAAGGTTTCAGCAGCGAAGACAAAGGGTTTGTAGGTCTGGTGGCACAGCTGGAACACGCTGGGGACAAGGGGGTGGCTYCCTGTGCTGCTGTGGTGACACAGGGCCAGCCCCCAGCCCCCTCCAAGCTCCCCAGCCCCAAGCCCCGCATCCCAAGCCAGCCCAGGGGTCTGGGCTCTTCCCATGGGAGATGCTCCAGTCCTCAGCCTCAAACCAGATAMCACCAGGAGCACAGAGCAGGTCTAGCTCAGAGTGTGGGCAGAGGGGACAGCCCTGCGGGGACCCCACCGACCCCATGGGGACCCCATCAGCCCCACAGGGACATGCAGGTGGTTCCCAGCACAAACASCTGCCCTAGGGACAGCACCCCTGGGACCAGCTGGGGTGAAACAGAGACAGACCCCACTCACTATTTCTTCTTCTGCTCCCTCGTGCTCTCCAGGCTGTAGGTGGCCACGTTGATGAGTCCTGCAGCCCTCTCATCCTGCRGGGACAGGGACAGCCGTGTCTGCCACCACCCCAGGAAATCCTGGCTGCCAAGACAGGGGGCAAGGCCACCCAGTGCCCCCACTCACATTGGGGTGGTTGTACCAGTAGAGTGTGTGGCCCTTGAGCACAAACCAGCACCGCTTCCACTTCTGGGCCATGAAGCCCACGTGGTCCTTCTTCTTGAGGAGCCACCCATCGCAGTCCACCCGGCCCAGGTCCCGGCACGAGACCCGCCGGCGGCTCAGCCTGGTCGCCACTCCTGCACCACAGATTGGGGGTGTCAGGAGAGGGAAGGGGGAGCAGAGCCCCCCTTGGACAGCCCCAGCCCCATTCAGGGGGGCTCTGCTCACCCTTTGGTCTGCGTCCTGTCGGGGGGCTGCCCTGAGGAGACAGAGATGAGAATTTAGTGACAGTGCAGGGGGTGAGGGCAGGGCAGCACGCACAGCCCTTTAGAGACCCCTTTAGGGACCCCTTTAGGGACCCCAACTCACGGGGGATCCTCTGGCACCCTCCCAGCATGTCCCCCCCAGCTCTCACCTCCTCAGGGAGCTGCCTGGGCTCTGCTCTGCTGGGCTCTGCCGTGGGGCTCAGCTCTGTGCCACAGGCTCCGGTGGCAGCAGGGGTGCCCGGGGAGGTGCCCAGGGGGGTGTCCAGGGGGGTTCTCGGGGGGCTGCCACTGTCCCACAGCTCTGCAGCACCTGTGAACAGCGAGCAGGGCTGCAGCCTCACATCCTGGGGGAACTGCTCCATTCCCAGACAGCCTCTGCTGCCATCCTACCCYGTCCCGACAGTCCCGACAGTCCCGACAGTCCCRGCGGCTCCWCCACAGCTGCCCCGGGCAGCCTCAGGTCCCGCTCGTCCTCCTCCTCCTCCTCCTCCTCGTCAGTGACGGGATCCGGGGCAGAGTCTGGTCCCGAGTCCAAATCGGCCGCAACACTGGGAGAAAAACGGGACCCGTGAGCCCCAAATCTCCCCGAGTTGTGCGGGGGTGCCCCGATAAACCCGGGRCTGGGGCACCCTGGGCTCGCCCTGCACCGGGAGCGGGGCTGGAGGGGCTGTGGGGGCAGAGCTCCAGCTCAGTTGCACCGGCCTCCCCAACGCGCTGCCGTTGGCTCCACGCACGCCTTTCCATTCCGGGAGAGGAGAAGGGTCATGTCTAAATATAGTTCCAACCCCACTAAAACGTTACCGAGTGAATGAATTACAAAACCCCACTTTTTTTTTCTTTTTTTTTAATTCCTTAAGACTCCTGGCAGCTTTCTGGGCTGCTCAAGGCAGCTGCCAGGCTGGTGGCACCTTTTCCCCTAAAACAGAGCTGGGAAAGGGCCCTGGATGCACCCAAACATCTCCCTGCTGGCCGGATTGGGGTGTTGGGGTGTCAGGATGGGGCTCACCTGGAGGTCAAGGACATGGGGCTGCCCGGGCTCTCGCCACTCCTGGTGCCGGGGGAATCTGCAGCATCCGAAAATGCTCCCGGGGGCTGTGGATGGAGTGGACCCCGGAGCTTTAGAGATCTCCAGTGTGATGGGAGCTGCCCAGCTCTGAGCATCTCTGCCTGGTTCCCAGCACAGCCCAGTGTGGCGCTGGGACTGAACTGGGAGCACTGGGATCACTCACCTGCTGCCTGGGAGAGAGGGGTGAGCTGGGCAGGTCAAGGGGGATCTTCTTCAGCACCAAAGTCACCCTGTTCCCCTTCTCCAGCAGCTTCCTCGCCAGGCTGACGGGTGTCCARCCCACCTACACATCCTGGGTGAGCCACGGGCCACTGCCCTGGCCACAGGGATGCTTCATCCCCAACCCCACCCCAGTCACAGATCCTACATCCCCCAAATCCTCCTGGCAATGGCTCCCGTGTCCCCAGACCTTTCCCAGTGCTCCTGCTTTTTGCTGTTTGTAACTCCTGCATGTCCCAAATCCTCGCCACCTCAGTCCCAGTTTCCCCCCAGCCCTCCCAGCCCTGCAGCTCCCTGTCCACGTCTTCCCTGCCCAATCCACCCTCGAGCCCCCGTCCCCCCAACTCACCACGACCTGCTCGTTGACCTGCACGATCTCATCTCCGGGCAGGATGTGACCCCCGTGGGCAGCCAAGGCCTGGACAGAGGCAGAAGGGGAGTGGGGTGCCCATCCTGGATTCTCTCCCCCTCCCAAACTGATCCCACTCAGGAGGAACCAGAGGGGTTAACCATTAACCCAACCTTGCACAGCCCTGCCAGAGCTGCTGCAGGGATTGGGGTGCAGAGGCGGCTCCCCCATGGGGCTGTGCTCACTCATGGGGTGATTTGGGCTGGGGGAGAGCAGATCAGGGCTCTGAGAGGTTCCCAGGATCCCATGGGTGGGGGCTGTTCCCTACAGGGCTAAAAAGGGGTGACTGAGGGTGGCACAGGGGGGTGACAGGCAGGGAGGGGCAGCCCCACACTCACCTCCGAGGTGCTGGCAGACACGAAGTGCAGGCAGGAGCTGGTGGAGGTGACCTCAAAGCCCTGGGGGACCGAGATGGGGGTTTGAGCAGGGGTTTGGGGGTGCCAAGGCAGAGAGTGGCACTGGGACTCACCAGCCGGGCAGAGAGGAGCGCCTGGGGGCTCCCCACGACATCAGAGGGTGGTGTTGGGGTGTCGGGRGATCCTGGGGGGCTGCTCCATGGGCTGGGGAGCGCTGTCGGTGTGCCAGGGGATGCTGGGGGGCTCTGCCACAGGCYGGGGGGCAGCGCTGGGGTGCCAGGGGACATTGGGGGGCTGCYCTGCAGGCCGGGGGGCAGCGACAGCCCCACACTCTGCAGCACAGCCCTGCGGTCCAGCAGCGCCGGGGGACTGCAGCCCACGATGCTCTGGCAGATGCCCACGATGTGCTGGCACTGCGGGTGACAACGAGGGGTGAGGGGAGCCCTGGCACCCCCGTGCCTGCCTGTCCCCTCCTCCTCAGCCAGCACTCACAATCCGCAGGATCCCGCTGCTCCTCTCAGCCTCGGGAAGGTCCTGGGGGACAAGACGTGGTGATGAACGTGATGGAATGGCTCCATCCCAGCTCAGGGACCCCCTGCACCCCATCTCCCTCACCCCAGCTCCATCCAGCAGAGCTTTGGGGGGTCAGGACTGCAGCACCGAGCCCATCCCCATGGCCTTGGGCACTCACCGCCTGCAGCAGCTCTGCCAGCTGGGCACAGAGCAGGACGATGTCCCGGCTGGCTGAAAAGTCATTGAGGGTGGAGAAGAGGTACCTGRGGGGCACAGAGAGCTCAGCCCCCGCCGTGGGGGCACCCAGCACCCAGGGCTGCCCTCACTGCCCCGACCTGTTGAGCCAGGAGAAGAGTTCCTTGGCAGCCCCGACCAGGTCGATGACTCGGGCCAGGAGGGTGAGGGAGGGCGGCTGAGGGGCATCCCCTGCTGACAGCCCCCGCTGTACCAGGCTCTGGATGCCCTGTGCCAGCTCCTGCAGCCTCTCGGTCAGCGTCCGCAGGCTGGTGCTCGCCAGCCCTGCATCCTGGGGGGACAGGGAGGCCAGGGATGGATGGTCTCTGGAGTACCTCCAGGTGCCCACCTTCACCCAGCCCACAGTGCCCTCATATCCTGCTCCCTGTCCCCTCCAAACCCCTCTCCAGAATCCAGGGCGCTCCTTTGTCCCCACCTCCATCCATTCCAAGATGACCCCATCTGCCCCTTCCAYCCAGCCCAGGGTGATCCCAAATCCTCCTCCTTCAGCCCAGGAAATCCCCACATCCCCTGCTCCCCTGTTCCTCCCCGGGATCCCGCAGCCCCTGGCACTCACCAGGTTACGGAGCTGCTCCACAGCCTCCAGCAGCAGCTCCTGGTGTCCCAAGGGCCACACGCCCAGTGCCTCCAGGACCCCCACGTCCATCCCCAGCAGGTCGGGCCCCGAGAGCCCCCAGGCCTCGAACGGGTACCCCTGCACTGCCGCGTCCAGCCCTGCCACAGATCAATCCCCTCTGCCAGTGTCCAGTGACCCCAGGGGTGATCCCAGGGAGGGTTCTCTCCATRCAACGAGTTCCCCCGGCCTCAATCTCAGCGGCGGGGATGCCAGAGCTCGCCCTTCCCACCCGCATTCCCGTCCAGGGAGAACAGATGAGGAACGGGAAGTACAGCCACCCCCAGSCACAGGTCCCCGAGCTGGGCACACCTCACCGCAGAGCTGCCAGGGTCTCACCTCGGAGCCAGGCGGCCGTTTGTGCGGGGCTCCAGGAGCCCACGGGCTCCATGGCGGCGGGGCCGGAGCGGCGGCGGGGCCGGAACAGCGGCGGGAGCGGCGCTCACCTGCGCCGGGCGCGGCTCTCACCTGCGCCGGGAGCCGCAGTGCCATTGGCGAGCCCGGCTGCCGCTCAGCCCGTGCCCGCCTGCCCGGAACGGCCCGGGACCGGCCCGTGGGGCGAGGCACTACCTGAGTCACAGCCCGGACGGTGACGCGCGGCCGCTGGAACCCCCCGGGAAATGAGAGCCGGGGTAACCCCCGGGAAATGACAGCCGGGGTAACCCCCCGGGAAATGACAGCCGGGGTAACCCCCCGGGAAATGAGAGCCGGGGTAACCCCCGGGAAATGACAGCCGGGGTAACCCCCCGGGAAATGACAGCCGGGGTAACCCCCCGGGAAATGAGAGCCGGGGTAACCCCCGGGAAATGACAGCCGGTGTCACCCCCGGCAAATGAGAGCCGGAACCCCCCGGGAAATGAGAACCGGTGTCACCCCCGGGCAAATGACAGCCGGTGTCACCCCCAAACAATGCCCGCAGCGAGGGCTGAGGCCCGACTGCACTTGTGGCCCCAGCGGGAGAAACCCCCCGTGCCCTGTGGGTGCAAGGTTTGGCCACACAGACCCCCAGAAGAAGCTGAGGGAAGCCCCTGCTCAGCCCTGGAGTTTTTGGGGTGTCACCACCCCCCTACCCCAAGCGTAACTTGCAGCCTTTCCTTTGCAGGCAGAGAAACTGAGGCAGCCCCATAGAGGCCCGCAGAGGGGTTCGCCATAGCCCAGCCCTTCAGCCCCCCCAAATCCACCCTGGGCTGGCGTTGGCCCCCCCGCCCGGCGTGTCCGCTCCGGGGAGCAGCGGGCGCTGATCGCGGCTGACAGCTGCTGCTCCGCGCCCGCCCGGTGCCTGCGCCCTGCCCGAGGGGCCGCGGGGCCGCCGACAGACACGGAGCCCCTCACCGCGCTCGGGGGCTTGGGGGGTCCCGGCCCCGCCGCTGCCGCCCCACAGAACCCGGTGCCGCTGCTCCCCATCGCGCCATGATCATCCGCCCCCGCCGCCTGACCCCCGGGTATTTCCGTCTGCTCCAGGTAAGGGGTGAGCAGGGYTGGGGGAGCCCGGGGGGACCCCCAGGATGGTGCCCACGCTGCCCACCGGGCCTGCTGGCCGCGGGAGCCATGGCCGGCTGTATCCCAGCTCCACAGCAGCAGCGAGGATGCTGCCGATGGAGCCCCCGAGTGCTGCACGGGGCACCCCAAAAGCCCCCCCGAGATGCCCAGAGTGGCACAAATCTGCCCCCGTCACCTTTACACCACCGAGTGTGACGGGAATGTTCATTGCGTGGCCCCAGGCCCCTGTTCCCGCACTTTGGGGTGCCCCAGCGCTCCCCTCTGCTCTCCTCTGTGTCCCCACAGATGCAGCTGGCAGCAGGACGTGGCACTGAGCCGGGGGGGCGGCTGCTGACCCCCCTGGCCCTGCTGCTGGCGGCCGCCGGGCTCTGCCTGTCCCTCTACAGCGCCCGGAGAATGGCTGACCCCGCCAAAGCCCCTCCCGAGCCGTGAGGAGGGGGCTGCCGGGGCCGTGGGGACACCGGGGCACTGTTGGGGTCCCCGTCCACCATGCCCGAGCAGAGCTGTGCCCGTTTTCCAGCGGCCATGCGCCACATCCAGCCCTTCCTGCCACACCGGGCTCGCGATGGATGCCCTGGGGATGGGGACTGTCCCCGCGTGTCCCCGCSTGTCCCCGCSTGTCYCCGCTTTGGGCAGCCGGGATGGACAACGGAGAAGCCGCTTCCATCTCCTGAGCTGCCGGCCGAGCCACGGGGGGACATCGGGATCCGGCCACCAGAGCAGAGACTGAACGGACGGACAGAGGGACGGCAGAGCCGGGAGCTGCGTCCATCCCCATCCCCCAGGGAAGCAGAGGGGACCCCGCTGGAGCCCCCCTGTCTGCGGGAACGCTGTGGCCGGGCCCCACAGGAATGAGGGCAGCGCCGAGCGCCGTTAGGTAACGGGCAGGGGGGACACGGGGCCGGTGACGTGTCCCCTGGGCACGCACATCCCGCTGGGATGGCGCTGGGATGGCGCTGGGATGGCACTGGGATGGTGCTGGGATGGCGCTGGGATGGCGGCTGCAACCCCCCCGCCGAGCTCTCCATCCCCCGGGCCGGGGGGACAAATCCCGGCAGGCTGCGTGGAAATAAACCCTTCCCGACCCTGGAAATAAACCCTTCCTGACACTGGAAATAAACCCTTCCTGACACTGGAAATAAACCCTTCCCTGCCCAGCACAGCTGTGGTGTCTCTCTGTCTTCCGTTCCCAGCACATTCCCAGTGCCCAGCCTGGCAGGAGGGATGAATCGGGGACACCCACTCCGCAGGAATTCGGTGCCATTGTCACACAGTGTCCCCTAAGGGTCACCAGCACACACCAGACAGGGAGGCTGATCACGCCACACAATCCCGGCCCTCCTGCAGTGTGAAATCACTTGGAGGAGTTGAATTTTTGGGGACAGGAGCCTCCATGTGTCTCCCACCAGGGTTCCTCTCAGGGATCAAACCAGCTGCTCACTGCAAACCCCAGTGCTTGATGAAGAGGCCACTCAAACTCACACTGCCCCCAAAAAAGCTGCCTGGAACTCCCTGCAGGAGAGAGCCTCACCACCCTGCCCAGCTCTGGGAGAAGGCTGTTCCACCTTTGGGTGATGAGGAACAGCACACTGAGGTGTCACCCCACCCTTTGGCGGGACTGTCACCCTCAAATTCAACACTGCCAGGCTGTTAGTTGACATATTTTAATGGGTGCATCGCTGGGATAACCTCTGCCTGAGGACAGAGAGAGGAAACTGCTCCAAAAGCAGAGAGACAAGAGTGCAGTCAGAGAATAGCCTTGTCCCTTTCTGGAGAAGAGGAACACACGGCGAGGGCAGCCAGGGTCCTGCTGGCTCCTTCTCCTCGTTAGTGCCAGGCCAGGGGGCTGTGGGAGGAGCGGGGTGGTTTTGGCTGGCACGCTGTGCTGGAGCACATTTTTCTCACAACAAAGTTCAGGACAAAGACGCCCTCACAGAGCCACTCGGCCCCTCARTCGCCCATCCCCGCGCTCAGCCGGACGTCTCCATCTCGGTGACCTCCTCGAGGGGCTGGGTCTGCACCTCCACCTTCTTCGGGGGGATGTAGGAGCCCATCCCGGCRGCACGTTCAGCCTCCTCCTGCGTGTACGGAGCCTCCCGCAGCTGCTTCAGCCTGGGGACACAGAGGGATGAGACTCCCACCTGCCGTGGGACTGACCCAGAACTGCCCCTGCCCGGGGAATCTGGGGAGCTGCCCCCTCTCTCTCACCTCTTCTTGTGCACCTTGGATCTGAAATGCTCCTTCATGCTGTTCAGGTCCACGAAGTAGCGCCTGGGGTGTGAAAGGAGGGGGCTCAGGGGGACTCTGAGAATAAAGCAGGGCTGGGGAGGGTCCCACCACAACCCGGGGCAGGATCCACCCAGAGACCGGGACAAGCTCCCCACAAGGATCAGGGTCCCTCTCGAGATCAGGACAAGGGGAGCTAGAGCCCCTCAAGTCCAGGAGGCAGGGACTACCCGCGGGAACAGGGCAAGAGGGGACAGGGACCTGAGCACCTCTCTCCCAAAAGCCACGGACCCCCATGACACCAGGGAGGCCTCAGGGAGGGACCAGGACAACCCCCACCTCCCCCGGGAACCATGGACCCCCAGGACCGGGACCCTCCCCCGGCTGGAGCCCCCCGGATCCYCCCGRATCCCCCCGGAWCCCCCCGCCACACACGCGCAGTGCAGGCAGTAGAACTGCGCGCAGCCGGGCAGGTCGGGGTCGATCTCCTGCCGCAGCAGCCGCGCCGCGTTCTCGGGCTTCAGATCCGCGTGGATCTCATCCAGATCGCGCCGGCGCCGCTTGGTTTTCAGCTGCCGGGCGAGCGAGTGCGCCCGGTGCGCTCCGGTGCGGCGCCCGTTCCGCGGGGACATGGCGGCAGCACGCCGCGACAAACCGCACTGCGCAGGCGCGGGGCTGCGGGACACGCCCACAGAGCATCAGGCCCCGCCCCCGAAGCGCGAGGAGAGCGGTCTGACCACGCCCATGAAGCGCAAGCCACGCCCACTGACCGGCAGACCACGCCCCCCGCCCCGCCCGGTGTCGCCGGTACCGGGGACGGTCCCTGGGCAGGCACAGCCGCGAACCCCCAATCCCCGGTGCCACCGTCCCCGCGCTGCCGCCGTGTC